AAGGATTGACACAGTGGCTGTGATGATGGGCTCAAGTATAGCAGGGATTGTGGGGCTGGTGCGGGATCGGGCAGTGTTTCGTTCTGCTGTGCATGGGGTTGCTATGAGTCGGAAACGACTCGACGGCACTTAACAACAACATAGGTGGAGAGCATCTTGACGGCACTGAGTTTGATTTTTTTTATATGTACAGAGCAATGAAGACATGATGCATACTACAATATGGGTGAAGCTTACCAACTTTATGCTGAGAGAAATAAGTCAGTTGCAAAAGACTAATTCTGTATGATTCACTTACGTGAAATAAGCACATCTATCAAAATGTAAGATTATTAGTGGATAAAACAGAAGGAAAAAAGGGAACAAATGTAGCTTAGCTTAGGGCCATTGACTTTACTTTAAAGGTGATGGAATGATTCGGACAAGGATAGCCGCAGAGGTTGTACACTGTGAAGAATGTCGTCAATAACAATGAGTTGGGCAGGGAGAAATTACTGCATTGCTGAAGATTTTGCTCTTTATATTGTTGCCATAAGAATTGTTTTAAACAGAGGAGAAACAAATGAAAGAATGGAGGAAAATCATGCTACTAAGAAATGGGGAGAAAGCGAGTGAATTCTTAGTTTACCTGATGCAGCTCCTCATAGGACATCATCAGGAAATTCTCTTTTCCTCTCATTGACAGCCAGCCACGAACATGGTCAAACCATGATCCATAGATCACTGCAAGACAAGTGGGAGGAAAGTGGCAGAGTCACTGGTGTGTGTTCTCTTCTGTCTACGTTTGTTTCCCACTGTTTGCATGTCATAAGTGTTTGAAGGGTCACCGAGTGAAGTCATGGAAAGTGTTTTCCTTATCCACAATTTATGGAGAAATAATGAAAAACAAAAACCAAACTCACTGCTATTGAGTGGACTCCGACTCATGGAATCCTACAATCATCGCATCAATGGCAAATCTCTTGGAACCGTGTAAGACGATCTGTTTCAGAAAAGTTTCACATCCTCGTCACTGAGAAATGGTATTTGTGATTTGGAAAGGAATCGAGTCATATGGAGCAGTAAGCTTGAACTCAATGTATTTTGTGGTCGTTCCTTGACAGCCCCAACTCCTCCCCCTCTGGCTTGGGCTGTGTGCCAACACATGTGCATGCAAGTGCTGGACAACGAAACAAGAGGACTGAAGAAGAGGTGACGGATTCACATTTTGGTGTTTGGTGAAGATTGTTGAATATACCATGGAGTTCCCGAAGATTGAACAGATCTCCTTTACTAGCAAGGCTGGGGACACCTTAATCTCCTCACTTCAGATACATCATCAGGAAAGACCCGACACTAGGAAAGGACATCGTGGTTGAGAACGTTTCCCAGTAAAACCCAGGGGGGCCCTCAATTTGCAACCTTGGGCTGACACATGTCAACAATAGTCATGAAGATTGTGCAATCCGGGTGAACATTTCCTTGCGTTATACGTAAGATCACCCTGCCTGGAGCCCACTCATTGGCATCTATCAACTACAACAAGAAACACAGGTTTGGATGACCATGTGGTTGTTTAAACCATGAGATGATAAGACCTGGAGGTGAAGGTAAGGAACTCCACCATTCCGTCCAGATTCCGTAATTGAGTCACACTCACCATTTCCCTGGAGAAACCATTCAAAGTATTGTTCAAACGTCTCTGGATTTCTTA